CCACATAATGATGAAATTAACTTATAATGATGTAAAAAAATACTTCCGCATACTGTATTAGTAGTAGTTCTGTTATTTTGAAGTATAGGGAGGAATAAATAAAGAACAAATAGTCTCAAACAGGGGTGCCTGTTGGCTAAGTGTCTGCCTTTGGCTCAGGTAATGATCCCAGGGTCCTGGGATGGAGTCCCCCACCGGGCTACCCACTCAGTGGGGAGTCTGCTTCTCCCTCTCCCTCTACTCCTCCCCGTTTATGGTCTCTTTTCCTCTGTCAAATAAATAAAATCTTTAAAAAATAAAAATAATTTAAAAAAATGTCAAACAGACATGGGTGCTCCAAAGGCTTTCATCATGTTTTAAGTAATAAAAGGAACTGGCATAAACCCCATGGCATGAAAGTCCCCAAGGGTTCCTATTTCTTTAAAACTAGAATACGTCTAAAGATGTCTCTCCTGCCTGAACTACAAACAGGTGTTTATCTGCCTGTTATAGTTCATCAGCCCTGCACTTCTGAAGCCGCTGTTTCCTCTGATGACAGATAGGCCTGTAGTCATCATTCAGAGGGTGTTATGGTTAAATACGTATTTAGCAACAGGAAAATGCCAAAATCCTAGGACAACAGCAAGAACCAATAGATCTGGCGTATCAAGAAATGAAGCTCTTGAAATAAATACTGGGATAATATTACTTTGATTTCAGGTATGATCTGAAGTCATCAATTCCCTTCGCCTTCTCCCAACCCACTGTCTCACTTTAGTTACACAAATCTTAATTCATAGGAAGATTTTTTGCTACTTGTTGAAAAATAAATGCACTCTAGGGACGCCTGGGTGGCTCAGCCAGTTAAGCTGCTGCCTTCAGCTCAGGTCATGATTCCAGGGTCCTGGGATCAAACTCCTTCTCAGCAGTCTGCTTCTCCCCCTCCCACTGCTGCTTCCCTGCTCGTACTCTGTCAAATTAATACAATCTTAAAAAGAAAGAAAGAAAGAAAAAGGAAGGAAGGAAGAAAAGAAAAGAAGAGAAAAGAAAACCACACACAAATGTCCTCTTAAATTCTAGGAGCCCCTCTTCCAGCAGCGGTTTCTGTTACACACGTGTACGTGTCACTCAGCTGTGCCAACACGGAGGCAGTCCCACTCCAACACGAATGCCTCCAACATGGAGCGGTCCCACTGCAATTCTCACACTGGCCTCGGCACCCACTATGGGCGCATACAGTCAGACCCTCCGTTCCTCCAGGTAGTATCTGGGAAACGTGGGTAAATACCTGCCCTTTCTTACCTGACACAGTGGTCCTGAGGCTCATGAAACAAAATGTAGTTGTCAACAGAAACGGCAGTGTTCCTACCAGTGCTGCGGCAGGCCTGCGCTCCTAACGTGTGTTAGCAGCCGAGTCTTCCAGCTCAGGCAGCTTCTCGGTTCATGCCTTACAGAGAGCTGGCCGTACTGTGTCCCCTGCTGTTGAAATGGGAATACATGAGGTCGTCAGTTAAAGTAAGAACTACACTAGGAACAGTGCCTCTTATTATCAAAGGTAAAAATACTGAAGTAAAAATCTAAAAATCTTCAAAGACGAGGCGACTACCTCCATGCAGTGAGAGCATGACTTCCGCTTGTGCTGCCAAGAGGAAGGAAACAGAACTCGTCCTAATCGGAACTTCTTGGCCTTGAAACTTTATGACCTATTCGTTTCAGTTTATTTACACTCCTGACTCTCTGAGCTCTAAGCGCTCTGGGTCCCTGGGACCCATCTCTTATACTTTCCCTTCATGTATTCCCCCAAGCAACACAAAAAACTTCTGATTAATGTCAGAAACTTCTTAATTCGCTCAATGGTAGCTAAAATAGACTTCAGAAAGTATTAACTGACCTCTTAACTCTTAAGCTACTTGTTTCCAACTGTAGTAAAACTTTTGGACTCCCCTTAAAGGAATGCCGTGAATCTCAAACCAGATTTCTCCTTTGTTTCTTTTTCTTTTGGAGGGAGGGGGTGGTAGTAGTTATAGCAGGTTGTATGATGGATAGAAAATGTCTTATATTCTCAAGAAGCATGTTCTCCAACACAATGGTTCTCAGGTACAGAACTTACTCATTTTTCTATTTTGAATTCTTACAATGTCAATTCATAACCCACAGCTGATGTTCAACTGATGTTTGTTGAATTCAGTCACCTTGCTTTGGATCAGTTGGGCTGACAGGAAGGGTCTTGCTAGCATCCTCAGGGCCCTGAGATCCATCCTTAGCTGTCCTCGCTGAGAACACTCCTCAGACAGAGAGGATTGGCCATGTCTGTAAATCCAACCCCTCCTTCATTTCCCCGGAATCCAAGACCCCCAGATGAAGAGTGCATTCTTGGATTGGGGGCCACACTTTTTAATTATTATGTAATGTCTTCATACTGATGTCCTAGGATGCTTTAATATTATTTCTATTATTTCCACCCCTGGCTCTGGGGTTTCCAGTTTCTAAAAAAAGTGTTGTCACAATATACATTATTTCTTAATTCTGAGCAACTGAGGAAAGATAAAAAAGATACAAAATCCATCTTAACCAAGAAGTCCTTTCCATCAAGAGTTATAAAACCACCTGCTACGTTTTTGGAGATTACCTTTTGACATTAAAATTTTTTAAAAATACATTTTTTAAATTTGAAGAATTTTATACATTTCCAAAAAAAAAAACAACCAGTAACTTTCTCACCAATTCAATAACCACTTTACCAATTATTCTTTTATTTGTATCATACACATCAACATTTTACAGAAAAAAAAGAACCCCTTAATGTTAAACTCCAATTAAGTACGTATTCCTGATTCTTTTCAATGTAGACACCTAAATTTTTACACAAACATAATCTGTACATAAAATGTTTTAACATTTTTGAATCTCATTTGACATTTTTCATACAATTTTACATATATCAATATCAGTTAATGACTACGTAACAGCCTACAATAGCAATACATCAAAATTTACTTATCCATGTCCCAAATCCCGGACTTTTTTTTTTTTTAATGTGTATGAATGGAATTGCTAGAATTAGCTTTGTACAAGTAGCTTATTTTTCTTTTAAATATTTTCCTGGGTATATGCTGTTCAACATGACTTGATCTAGCCAAAAATAGACTGGTTACAGAGCTTTTGATCTAAATAGTTCTTTTAAAAATTACTAATCATGCTACTGGTATGAAGACACATGAATTTTAAAATGTTTTGCTAATATAATAGCATAAACCAGGTCAAAGTTGTTTCAATTTGCATTTTTAGTACTAGGAAACCTGAATATCAATTCTAAGAATCGTCTTTTATTTGTGTCATTTGTACTCTATCCTTTCATAAACTTACTTAGTAAAGAGTAGAAACTTTATGGTTTTGCATCTACTTTTTAAAAAATATTAAGCATTTTATCCATGTGTAATGTAAGTAGCTTTTTAAAAATCCAATCTATTTTTTGTCTTCTTCCTTAGTGCCCTTTTTCATTTTTCTTTAGTTGACCTCACCTACCCTGCAAGTGATATTTTTCAGTGCCATGAAGTATCTTTTGTACTACTGGGATGAGAATTGTAGTCTTTTTATTTTCACCTTTATAATCAACATTCTAACTCCTATGGAATGAACTGTCTTATCATATGTAACGTGGGCCTAATTCTTTTTTTCACACTGACATCCAATTAGTCTTTCTACCAGTAGTTACTACATAATTATTTCCTCCCAACTGGTTTATTAAGTCGTAGTTAAACTTCCTACTTAGCATCAAAGCGTATTTAGAAAAGGTTACTTTAGGATTTAAAGGGCAAGACTCTCACTTCTTTCCCCTAAGTTAAAAAGATAAATCTATCTTTCCTTGCCTGTTTTCCTGATTTGACACAATTCTGTCGAATTATATAAGACAGAAGTTGGAATGTTCAGTGCCAGTGTAGTAAATCTCCATATTAATGTCATCTAGTGGCATTCCTTTGGCTATGATTTCAAACACAGTATCTAACTTAATCTTCACAATAATTGTACAAAATATTATTTCTCTTTTATAGATGGTGAAATTATTTTGACAGGTTAGGCTATACCTAATAGAACCACTTTGCCATATTAATAAATGCATAAATATTAATACCAATTCACGACTTCTACTTTCAGGAAGCTGTAAAGTACCGAAGTCTTTCTTGTTTCATTTTTCTCACATATAGAAGAGCAATGAAAGACTATTCACAGCTTATGTGGGCCTCGTTTCATCTGCATATTTTTATAACATGTTGCTCAGATCAAAAGATACATTACTAAAAAGCATCACTTTGTTGAAATTTAGCCAAATTCTGCTTCCATGAGCTCCTTTGCTCTAACTTTATTTCTAATTGACCCTAAGCTTCACCCCGCCCGGATGTGAGTGAGAATAGGCGGAGAGGGAAGCCTGCGGGCTCTGCTTCCCCCGCAGCGCCGCGTGGACTTCCTCGTCGGGGCAGCCTGGATTCCTACCCTGGCTCTTCCCCATTCCAGACCCGGCCGAAGTATTAGTAACTGTCTTGCCCCCTTTGCCTCTTCGTTCGAAACGTTTTCAACAGGATCAGCCTCACAGGGCGGTTAAGACACTGCCACTAGGAAGCACTAGGTGCCTAGCACATCGTAGACGCTCTGCTTGACCACAGGCTGGCTCTGGAGGGCTCCTTCCTAGAGGAATTACCGTTCTGAGGAATGGAAACGGGAGACCGAAGGGGGGGGCCCTTCAGCTCATCTGACAACTCCGCAGGCTTTCCCCGCTGGGGTACGACAGCTTTGGCTTCTGAGGGCTCTGGAAAAAATGTTTCCGTTCTCTCCGTAACAGCTGGGAGGCTGAAGTGACCACGGAGGCGGTCACCTAACTAACCGTGAGTGGGGCACAAGGGAGGAGACATGGTGAATCCTCCGTCCACTCACTCCTATCCACCACACTCTGCTGCTAATTAAAGTGGCAGCACCACAAAGTGGTGCATCGGACCCTCACTAAGAAACCCTGGGAAACCTACAGACGGCTTTGAAAACCACCGGCATCCCAAGTTACAAATGCCTCACTCCATCTCCTCTTAGGAATTTCAAAACCGCCAATCTGTGGTACCTTTTCCTGGAGCAATGTATATACATATTTTTTCTTTTGGCCCAAGTTAGTTGTTGGAAGTTCTTTTCTTTTAGCCCAGCACAGGGCTCTGCAGAAATTGTCTGAAGTAGTAGTAAACCAGAACTAACCTGATCCCGAGATTTCCTTTGGGACAAACTTCCCAAGAATGACCTCTTCGATGATCAGACGGACTGTCCACCACTTTCTGTAATACAGAAGATTGTGGTGGCGGCACTGCCTTGCTGGTTACAAGGGCTAAGTAGGGGAACTGAACTGCACAATGTGTTGTAAACACTAGACCTTCACAAGTAAAGGATCATGCAAATTTATCTTTTAACACTTGGCACTTGCATGGAAGTTGCTATTGCTACTAGCATGTCTGTACATTTATATTATATACAAAAGACCCACATAATTTGTGTGTTTAACTACTCAGAGGCAGGAGCAACTAAAATAATTATAAAAGTAACTAAAATATTCCTTCCATATTATTGTTATTATAGACTAATAAAGTCTGAAGGTCATTAGCAGATACATATTACGTCCCTTTAAGCACAGTTGCTAATATGGAACCCTCACTAATACACCCAATACTAAAATAAAACTAACTTTGTCCAATCATCAATCAGTGACTGATAGGATCACAACATCCAATAACTGAATGTCTCAAACAGAATTTTAAAACACATCTGCATATATCATCATATAACCCGTTCTAATTAATCATATACGAAAGAGTCCTTTAAGTGAAACTATTCTGATGCCAGGATGAATGTCCAATGTAGCATTTCCAGTTTGCTCTTTTCTAGTTTTGAAGGTGCTTCTCTGGGCTTTCTAGGTTTTTACTTCCCTCAGAGGAGTCTACTTTGGCCATGATTATAGTATTGGTTCCAGGAGCCTCTGGTTGCTTATCATCACCATCAAAGATAATATCTTCCGGATTTGGAGGCGGGGGGCAGAATTCTTCATTGGGAAACATCTCCTGGAAAAGCGTTTCAGCTTGCTTGACTGCATGCTCATTTCCCAGTGCGCAGTCAGGCCCAGAGCAGACGTAAACATTGGAAGCTAAGCCCTCATATGAGCTTCTGCTGATGCCCGAGGAGTCTCTCATATTGAAATAAAGAGCCCACAAGAGTCTTGGCTTTGTACATTCTTCCTGGTCTACTTCTGTTTCATTGTATGGGGTGAATAATTTCTTCACTACTGACTCTAAGTCTTCTCTTGCTGTTTTAGAAGATGAACAGGTCAGATGTACCAGATAGGTGTCTTTCATGCACGTCATGGTCGAAGAACATAATTCGGTGACACGAACAGCACCTGCTCCTGATTCCACTGGAGGCACTACCAAAATGGAAATCTGCTGATCTGAATCTGCCTTTAGTATAGACTGATCTGTAATGAGCACTGCCCTGGAGATCTGCTTATACTGCACATTTGAGCATGTTTCCTCAGAAAGGTAACTGTCCTCCACAATAAAGTATTTAGCATTTATTCTTTGACCTAAGTGATCTATAATTGCTTTACATTTTCCAGAATCTTTGTCAACTACTAGGCATTGAACTTTGTGACGAAGACAATAGATCCCACCAAAAACTGCACACATCCTGCAGAAACACTGGGGAATTTCTCCTTGCCCATACAAGGGAAATAAAAAGGGGGTGTTGCCAAACCGTCCAAGACAGCGAAGGAAGTTTTTCGTTGCTTTAAGGCCATCTATTGTACTGCAAGATGATTCGGTCATTGCAATCGAATGCAGCACAAAATGTTGGAGGTTGGGGGTTAATTTTTTAGTTTGTAAGTACTCTGAAAACGAGCATTGCACAAAAGCTTGGTATTGATCAGGATGTTGTTCATAGTCTAAACAAAACGTAAGAAATTTCATCAGTATCCTCTTTTCAACCATAGTGAGTTCTTTGCTATTAAAGACATCTGCTCTGGAACAAGGCACCTGTTCTACTTTTCCTTCACGGAACGCAAGAATCCTAGTGACGTTTTTAAATTCTGCATAACGACTAACATTTGATTTGATTAAGAGATCAATTAGCAATCCTTGAGAATACAGCAGCTTTGATACCAAATCAATATTAAACCTCCTGCTTTCTTTAACTATTTGAGAGTAAGTGATCTTCTTTCTCTTTGGTTGGTCAGTGCTGTCTTTCTCTACAGGTTTCTTTCCATCTTCATCTCCATCTGAAACTGCAGGTATACGGGTTTCATCTCCACAGTACTCTTCCTTTGCCAAGGTGTCCTCGGCATCAGTTACTTCCAGTGAAACTTCTCCATCACTTTTTGGAGTGTCTTTGGTGGGCGTTTCATAGCTGGCAGCATGTAATGAGTGTGTTTCTTCAGACAAGCATGCAGAATGCAGAGGGTTAGGGGTGGCGCTGGATGTTGCTGAGGAAGGACTTTTCTGCAGAGCCTCGATCTCTTCAACACCGTCATCCACATCCTCACTGGCATAACAAAACACTTCTGTGTGTTGGATGGTTTCGTCCTTCTTGCGGAGAGTGACAGCTTCTTCTGTTTCATGGATCAGGCCTTGCCATGAGGCAGTACTTTCTTCCACAATGTCACTGTTTTGCTGATACTCCTTCAACCAGGACAGCAATCCCGAAAAGCTGAAACTTGCCCAGTTTCCTCCATAGTAGCTTCTGGAATCAAGATGCAGAACCCTCTGGCCACTTCTTGAACACGCAGCTGCAAGGATGGATTCAGGCAGACCCGTCCCTATTATGACCACATCAAACTCTGTGGGAAGCTGGTCCGCCATTGTAGGAGATAAAGCTTCGGTGACAACTGCTGACAAAGGAGATGCGTGGGAGTCTAGGCTGAGGGCTCCGCTGAGCTGCGCATATGCCGTAATCCAATCTCTCCTTGTGATAGTCTAGTTCATCCCAGAAGTACTGAGGCTGTAGGTCCTAGCCGTTTAACAGTTACCCTTTCTTAATATTGTTTTCCTTATAGGTCAGTAGCATAAAAATATGATAAAGTATATCTAATCACATCTGAGAACACTAAAACGGATGTGTGGTTTTCATTCCTGCATTTCATCTTAGCAGTAAATGTCAAAATGCATCACACATGCATTTGTGACTGGAACTCTTCTCTGAAAGAAGAAAATTCAAGAAAGAATACATCTGTAAACAATATGAAGAGAAAAGTAATTTCATGCAACAGCAATTACAATGACTCCACTGGAGTCCGACTTGTTATCAGGACATAAGCCTCTAGGAAAGCAAATCATTAAATGCTTTCTTACATATTTTCTAATTTCTCAAAAATGAACAGTAGAGATTTATCCCCCCAAAACACACAGTAATGAGGAAGTAACATCATAATGTCCCATAAAAACAATTTTCATAATACAGTTCTGTACCTTTTGCTTTTAATAAAATTAATATTTGAATAGAACTGTGAGCTTAGACTGTAAGAAATGTGTGGTTTCACTGTGTTTATGGAAACAGACTATACACTATGTGCACACTGTCATGATGAGGAATATTTCTGTGGCCAATTAAGCCTGTGGGTGATTTTAGAACAGCTGAATGAAAGACATTTCCATGCAACAAGCACCCTTAGGATCCCGTGGTAGCATCGTGAGACTGTTTCAACTGAATTAACTGGCTAATTCAGAATATTGCAAAAGGATTATTTCAGTAAAACAACTAGCATTTTGAGATATTTAGGTGCAAAAAAGGTTTACTGTAGGGAACATGCATTTAAAAAAATATTTATATGAATGTACACATGTGCATGTGTTTTTTGGGGTGTAAGTTAAAAAGGAAAATTCCCACCTTTGTAAGTTAAAATATCTTAACATAAATCATACCTACTTCTAAAATCCAAGTGAACATAGGGTGACTTGCATTTTGCCAGACTCTGGCTCTGACCCTGAATCTCTGTATCACAAGATGAAGGCCCCGTCCAAACATCCCCTAAGATTAACATGTTGTTTGCCGTTTTTTAGGGGTAGGAGGCAGCAGTGCAAAAAGGCTCTCCCATTACCTTCTGGCACAATACTGATTATATGCCACACACCGAACATTTCTGCGCCACTAGGTGTGGCTCGAGTTGCAACAACCAAGGGGTGAAAGGCATACTCACCTGAAGTCTTTAGGCTAATGCACTATACGCACCATGTGAAGGGGGCCTTTCTATCAGCTGTAATGGTGCAGTTAGAGGGAGAGTTTTGGAGCCCTAATTTTCCCTATCATTATGCTTGCTGAACTCAACATCAGTACTAACTGGGCCTGCCTAGGCTAAGATGACGAGTTAGCTTGGACATCTGTAAAACAAGCCATTCAACTGAAAGTCGGATTAAATTGACTAGTTCACGGAACAAACCGTCTGGTCAGTTTAGTGGAATGGCCATCTCAAGGGTCCTCTCTAGTCAAAGCCTCTGCCTCAAGAATATCGGCGATTCTACACTTGTTTTCAGCATTTCCCTGAAAAACCAGGAATTGTGCACTGGTGGGGCAGTTGCAATGCCTGCTCATAGGTGTGTGTGTGTGTCTGCGTTACTTATCCTGCCTTCTTCTAGCAGGGTGTGAGGAGGCAGACCGACCCCGGGAAGGTATGGCAAGAAAAGTAACGACACTGTGTGCTTATTCTTGGCTCAGGAGATAGAGCAGAGGATACAAGGCATAAGGGCTAAAACCAGGCAGCTTCTAACCCACAGATATCAAGAGTCCTCAAAGAACCAAGCACGTAGGACAGAACAACCTTAAAGAACATGCAGCTCACGCCCCCATACGAGAGATAACAAAACTGATTGCAGGAGAGATTAAGCGACTGGCAAAGTCCACACAAGAGGTTAGCCAGGCCATGGAGTGGAGCCCACTCTTGTGTCATCAGGCCGTTGGGCTCTCCACTTGATAGGGCAGCCTCTCCAGGGACCTCTAGAACAAGCAGCCACTTCTGGCACTTTTAAATTTCCTCCCCCTTCAACACGCCATAGTTAGCTCTTGTTCAGGGATGACCACCGGCGAAGCACCCTCCCTTTCTTTGCCTTAACCCTTATCTAGAAGCACAAACCTTGGAATTTACTTCAGGCAAAGAAATTCTTATTCTTGGCTAAGAACTTTTTCAGTTCCATCACAACCCCACTACTGACTTGACTCCCAGGGCTTAAATAAAGTCTTTGACTCTGATCCCAGAGTTTCCACCTCTAATTTAAAAATAAGGATAAAGTCATGGTTGAAAGCAGTAACTATATGCCCAGAGAAACAGAGCAGTCGTCAGGCGAAACACCGTGTGCGGTGAATGTTTCTAGCAGTCTTAGAAACTCTCTCCTGACTAGTATGGCACCTGAGCAGCGGGGATGAAGAAGAAAAAGCAACGGAAGGAGACGCAGCAGCAGAAGGAGGTCACACGGGCAAGAGATGAGGAAGAGGGTGAATGCTGGTACTAATAAAGAACTCAACACCCTTGATTTTAAACCCCCAGGCCCAGAGCCCAAATAGAACTGCCCAGCATAGAAAAAGCACTTCTTGGAAATAAGAACTTTAATGTCTGTGGTCAAACACCTGTTGCCCAGCCCAAGAAGCATTCCTGATGACACTTTAGGGTTAAGCTTCAATCACCCTCCTTAACTGAAAGCTTAGCCCTGCCTAAAAAATCGCCTGACACGTATTTTAAATTAATATAAAAAGTATAAGCACACAGCCACCTGTATCACCAGCTGCATACACTTACCGGCCCCTCCCAAGTTTCAAATCTTTGTATAAATAAAATTCTCAGGCTGCTTATCGAGGCGGGGGGGGGGGGGAGTAGTATTAGAATATTAGAAAAACTCAAATAAGTGAAATCATGATTCCTATGACAATTTTTGTTTCCTTCAAAATACCAAAAAGTGAATTATAACAAATATAATGTTTGGGTTTGCCACAACATAGGAGGTTGGTAAATAACACAATTTCTGATAATGCTACAAAGATTTCGTTTTCAAAAACCTGCCAAGATAAGAGCAGTGATAAATTATCAATATATTTCACCTTTTTTTTTTTTTCCCAAGGACCTTTAAGACCTGTGAAATACACATTCCTATTTCACATCCCGTGCAAATGAAATTCCTGGAGCACACACAATAAAATAATTCCCAAGCTTCGAAAATCACATCTTCTATGATACATGCTTCAAAATGAGCATCTTTCAAAATGTCAAGTCTCAATGAGACATGAAGCTTCCATAGGATTGGGAGTATTGCTGAAATAAATCTTCGATTAACAATCAAGTTCTACTTTAATGAAATCTCCCGGCTGCACCGCTAACTCTTTGTCCATCTAGGGTGGGATTCTGCGCCAGGTGTAACCTCACCTTAGATTTTGGGGCGCTGGAACCCCTAAGGAGAAAAATACAGTAAAAATAGCTTAGAAGGCCACGTGCCCATTTGCATTCTGAGAACCTGAATGAAGCTCATTCCCTTCTAGGAAGCATTCAAAGGTTTACATCCGCTAATGAGCAAAATTAAAGGAAAAAAAAAGTACACACTGCCACTCTGCCACAAACAGTATTGAATTCAATCTCTTCTCATCACCCTCTCCAGCTTTCCTGAGTTAGTTACTTTTTCTTGAATCTGTTGACTCTACAGCCCTTCGTTTCCTTCCTCAAAGTGTAAAGCCGCGGTTTCGTGCCCTGTTGAATTGTATTGGGGTGAAAACAGACATGAAAGGAACTGGACAGCGGACGGAGGGGGTCGGGGAGGGGCTGGGGTTTAGGGCCGGCTGCGGGGACAGGAGCGATCGCAGGGACAGAGCCGAGGCCGCCGCGGAGCGAGAGGAGGTGAAGCAGAGGAAGGCAGGCCATGCAGCTTGGGGTGGACGAGAGGCGGCGACGCCGGTGCGGGCGCTGAGCGGCAGGGCGGGTGGGAGAAGGGGACGCGCCGAGGGTGGGCTGGGTGGCCAGGGGGACGCACCGAGACGGCGGCAGTGCGGGAACGGAAGTTCGCGGAGGGGAGAACGCTTTCTCCTCCCAGCCCGACTCACCGAAGAGGCTGCTGCTAAACCCGTCCCACACGCAGCCCACGGTGTCCCAGACCCAGCCGTTCCTCAGGCAGGACACGAAGGTAAAGGTGACCCCGAAGAGGGAAACCAGCAGGTCGCTGAGGCTGATGTTGACCAGCAAGAGGTGGGTGGGAGTGCGGAGCCGCGGGAACTTGTAGTAGAGGACGAGCACCAGCAGGTTGTTGCCGACGCCCAGCAGCCCGATGCAGCCGAGCAGCAGCGCCAGGCGCTCGTAGGTGCCCGGGCTGAAGAGAGGCGCGGGGCTGAGCGTCCCCGCCGCTCCCGGTCCCTCGGCGCCCGCGGCCCCGCCGCCCTCCCAGTGGCCCTGGCCGCCGCTACGGTTCCCCGAGTACATGGCCCGGCGCGGGCGCGCTTGACGGACGAGGCGCTCAGCCTCCCGCGCGGCCCGTGGCGCGCTCCGCACTGGGTGGGGCTCCAGCTCCGCCGCCCGCTCGGGCCATTGTGCGCACCGGGACCGCCCTCCCCTACCCCTTCCGCCCGGCGCGCCCCCGTAGCCCTGCCCCGTCCCGCGCGCCGCGTTCCCGACACGCCTCTGTGGCTCCGCCCCCTACCTGCGCTCGTCGCGTTCCCGCCGCTCCCCGCGCCGCAGCGCCCCCTCGTAGCCCCGCCCCCTCTCCCTGGGCGGGCTCCTGTGGCCCCGCCCCTCGCCCCCGCGCGTCGCGTTCCCGCCGTTCCCCGCGCCCCAGCCCCCTCATTAGTCCCTCCCTCTTGCCCTTTGGCTTTACCGCCGCTCGCCTCTGGCTCGGGCTTTGCCGGGTCCTCTGGTCCCAGAGTCTCCAGGCTCCCGCACTTCTGCCCCGGCGTGTGCGCGCTCGCGGGCACGCGCGTCGGGCCAGAGCGGAGGAGAAGTCAGCGGCCGCGGCTCCCCACACCCCGTGTCGGTGCACCCCGCGTGGAAGCGTCACAGCCTCGCTCCCGTTCACGCACTCACTCGTGCACTCACTCACTCGCAAGCGTTTGTGCGCCCCTGCGTCTCGCTCGTGCTGACAGGAAGGTGTGCGGGGGCCTTCCGCGTCGGGTTTCTCACCTGCCCGGGAAGCCGCAACGACCCGCCGCCCGCGCAGCGCGCCCCTCTCCTCTCACGCCGGAAACGGGGGCCCCAGGCTGGACCCAGGCCCGCCGGCGTCGTCCCTCCCGTGCGGCTCCAGAGTAGCGGCGGTCAGTTCTGTGACTGGGGCCGGCCGAAGCCCCTCACCGGCGGCGACAGTCCGGGCTGTGTCCTCGGAGCTGCAACCTAAATGCAGCAGGTGTGGAGCGGCGGCTGCTCTACTTAGCACACACTCGTTCTCCGCTTGGCCTTTCCCCAGTAGCGGTGAAAATAGAGAACAATTCAAATATAGGCTGCGACCGTGATCACGCGAGGGCCGCGCCGCTGTCCCTGCAGAGCCCCTGACGAGGTCCCAAAGGAGGAACACGTCCGGGCCAGACCCGAGGAGGCTCTGGGAACTGGTGACTAACACGGTGTGGAAGGGCAAAGGAGTTGTCCTCCAGGAGGGTGTTGACCCCTTTCACCTCGGTTCAAAAGCCCGGCGGAGACTGACCAGCTTCACTGAACCCCCGTCCTAAATTCCCTGGACATGTAGCATCAAAGAGGGCGGGTGATCTCTCCGCCCCGGTGCACCGAGCGATATGTTCTGCCCTCAAAACCTTGATTTGTCTTTAAAGATCCCAGTCCGGATTTGTCATCTATGAGACTACTTAACCCATCCACACCTTTAAAAAAATTGTCTAATTTTATATATATATATACATACACACACACACACATACATATATATATATGTGTATATAGATATAGATGTACAGAACCATTTAACAAGTTCTGTATATTTAACGTTCCCTGTGTTTTCATCACACTTCCTTCCCAGTCTACAGTAAGTTCTCAGTAAATATTCATTGAATGAATAAAGAAGGAATCACTGTATGTTCTTCATTCATTCATTCAATCATTCTTTCTTTCATTGGTGCTGACTCCCTGCCCTCCCAAAGCTTATATTCTGGTTGTGCTGGGACAGCAGACAATAATCAAATAAGTACGTGTGCGGTGTGTCAAGTGCAGATATGTGCCATAAAGAAAAACAAGGCAAAGAAAGGGTATGGGGAGAGAAGAAAAAGGTTATTTTGTATAGGTGGTTATGGATGGCTGTGCTGAGTTCTGCAGGCACAGAGAACATGTACTGAGTTGGGAGTGTGCTTAGCTCCTTAGAGAAAAAAAAAACAAAACAAAACAAGGAAACCAGCATGGTTGGTGGAGCAAAAGGGGAATTAAGAAATGAAGGCAGAAAGGTGGGTGAGCTGTGAATGGGCAGACCATGCAAGGACACGGCCATTTTAATAAAAGGACTTTGGCTTTTACTCTCTCAGGGTCAAGTCCAGGCCAACATGTATGGGAGAGGAATAACAGCAGGGAACGAAAAAGAGGAGGAGGAGGCTCTTGGCAAATGTGTAAGAATCCCAATAGAGTCATTTTTGCAATACTGTTAACAGTTAAGGATGTTCATTATACTTGAGAGAAACAGGCACTGTTGCCACAAATATGATTTAAATTGTCAACAATGATAGGCCATTTGTTGGGGAAAGGAACGTCTTTCCAAAAAATGGTGCTTGGAAACCTGGATGTCCTCCTGCAAAAAATGAAGTTGGACCTTTTTCTTAACACGGTATAGAAAAATTAACTCAGAAAGGATCAAACAGCTAAGCTTAAGCACTCAAACTATTGAACTCTTAGAAGAAAGCATAGGAAAAAGATCTTCATTGCATTGGATTTGGCAAATAATTTCTGGGATATAGCACCAAAGGCACAGGTAACAAAAGAAAAACATGGATAACTTAAACTCCAACAAAATTTAAATTGTGCATCAAAGGATGCTATCAAGAGAGTGAAGTTACAACTCATAAAATATTTGCAAATCATAGATCTGTAAAGGATTAATATCCAGAATATAAAAAGAACTCCTACAACTCAACAGTGACAACAAAAAAATCCCCAAGGACCCAATTCAAAAATGGGCAAAGGACCTGCATAGACGTTTCTCCCAAGATATACGAATGGCCTATAAGCACATGAAAAGGTAATCAACCTCATTAGTCATTAGGGACATGCAAATCAAGGCTGCAATGAAATATCACTTCACACCCACTAGGATAGCTATTCTCAAAAACTAAACTCTAAAACAAAAAATGGAAAATAATAAGTGTTGTCAAGGGTGTGGAGAAATAACCCTGATGTACTGCTGATGAGAATGCAAGATGGCGCAGTCACCATGGAATCAGTGTGGCAGCTCCTCAAAACGTTAAACAAAACGTTAAACGAGTTACCATATGATCATATGATATGATCATATCATAGAATCACCACATGATGACTATGTAATAATTATAATTAAGTATTATAATTAAATACATATGTAATAATATATTACACATAGATAATATATATCACCAAAAGAATTGAAAGCAGGGATTTGAATAGATATTTGTACACCAATGTTTATAGCAGCCAAAAGGTAGAAATAACCCAAATGTCCATCATCAGATAAAGGAATAAACAAAACGTGGCATACAATGGAATATTACTCAGTCATAGAAAGGAATGAAATTCTAGTACGTTATAACATGCATAAACCTTGAAAACATTATGTTAAGTGAAATAAGTCAGACACAAAAGGACAAATATCATGTGATCCCACTTATAGGAGGTACCTAGCATAGGCAAATTCATGAAGACAGAATTGTGGCTGCCAGGGGCTGAGGTGGGAGGAACTGGGAGTTAGTGATTAGGATCACAGAGCTTTGGTTTGAGATGATGCAAAAGTTCTGGAAATGGACAGTGGTGATGGTTCATAACATTGGGAATGCACTTAATGTACTTAATGAACATTAATGTACTTATGTACTGAATGTACTTAATGCCACAAAATTGTACACTTTTATGCTACATATATTTTACCACAATAAGTATGTGCAAATTGTGCCTGCATCTAACAGAGTAGGAAAATAAAACAGATGTAACCAATTTATTGAGCAAGATACTCAACTTGTGTAAGCAGAAAGTGACTTTATTCTCTCTCCCATTACTCATTTCAAATGTCTTCTCTGCTCCTGTTCTTTAACTGTCTTTGGATGGCATTTTATCAGGTCCCAAAGCCTTTCTGGTCACTTTCAATTAATATAAAGTCCTGAATATTGTAATACTGAAATGTTAAAACTCATGGAAAACTCACTTGTCAACCCTCCAAAACAGAGCCTGCTTCAGGCCTGGAGAACTTCAGGTGGTAGGCATGGAGGGGACAATAAATTTAGCTTCTCCCATTCCCTAAGTCTACTACCTTAGGTGCTGCTCTGGGCCCCTCTGGGATTTCAAGCAAAAATCCTCCCTGATTGGTAAAGTTGTCACCTGATGTTGGCGCCCTCTGATTGTAGCAGATTTTAAGTGCTGTCATTTTCTCTTCTAGGGTGATTTGTGGGTTCTTTTGAGGACCTGAGATCATGGAGATTTGTCTCTCACAAGTCCCTTGACAGGAGCAATATCATTGCTCCTGTCAAGGGACTTGTGTCCGCACGTTGATGTCAGCTGGCTGCTTGCATCCCCCTCTGGGACCCTGGTTAGGGCCCCCAGACCCTGCAGGCAGCCTTCTCCAGTAGGGTGCCCTGATTGTTTGGCATCTGGCCTTCTGGAAACGTATGCATCCTTGTCCCACCAAATTCTGAATGTGGACTGCAGTGGAGAACAGGCCAGCCCCAGTCTCTCCCCTCTGGTGCCCACTGGGTGGAAGGAAGTGGAGAAAAGTCAGGGCCCCTTGACTACTCCCAAAATTCCAAGGAAGTGCTCATGAGTGCTCTCCTCAGTCTCCTAAGAAATTGCCTTCTTTTTAGTAGTTTGAACTACTACCTGCAGAACTGGTTTTTCCAATGTCTCTGTACCCCCTCCTGCATCAACTATGCAGCCCTGTCCTTTAGATTGGGGGAGTTCTTCAACTGTATTGTGGGGCCCCACCCAAGGCATCAGGGGATCCCTTTTAATATCCTCTTACACCGGAGCATTAAGTCATCCCTCTCCCCGTATTCCAAGCAAGTCCTTTATAATGTACAAGGGGGTGGAAGTGAGGGGGAATGGAGATGGGTTTTATCTGCCATTCTTGCATGGGATCCCTGATAACCCCCAGCCTTCTGCATCATGCCCATGTCACCTGACAGGGAACTTCCAGACCCCCTACTCAATGGAGTAAACTTCCAAGGACTGGGATGCTGGCTCTCTCACCTCGGTCCCTGGTGGGAAACCCTTACTGAAAAGTCTTGCCAAATATATCTCTACCTTTTCCTGCCTTATGAAACATCTTTGGGATGCCTAGGTGTCTCCGTTGATTCAGCATCTGCGTTTGGCTCAGGTCATGATCCCAGACTCCTGGGATCGAATCCCCCATGGGGCTTTTTGGTCCGGGAAGCCTGCTTCTCCCTCTGCCCCTCCCCC